ATTCACTATATCCGCTCTCCCCGGACCCCGCATTCACTATATCCGCTCTCCCCGGACCCCGCATTCACTATATCACTGGTCTCCCACAGTACATAGAACATGGAAATGCAATTCATTTAATAAATATAAACTGCTAAATACCTTTTCTCAGCAGTATATACAGTGAAGGAAATGCGTATTTGCTCCCTGCTGATTTTGAATGTTTGCCCCTCACAAAGAAATGATCGGTCTAAAAATCAAATGTTCGGTGTAACACTGAGAGACAGAATACAACAACAAATTCAGCAGAAATGCATCTAACAAATGATGACTGATCTGCATGTTCATGAGGGAAATAAGGATTTGATCCCCTATCATTCAGCAGGATTTCTGGCTCCCAGGTGTCTTTCATACAGGTAACAAGCTGAGATTAGAAGCAGTCTCTTAAAGGGAGTGCTGCTAATCTCATTGTGTTACCTGTATAAAAGACACCTGTCCACAGGAGCAATCAAACCATCAGATTCCAAACTCTCCACCATGGCAAAGACCAAAGAGCTGTCCAAGGATGTCAGGAACAAGATTGTAGACCTACACAAGGCTGGACTGGGCTACCAAACTAGGGTCCCCTCTCCAATTCTCTGGGGGGGGTGGTAGTGTCCTCTGTCATTCAGGATTGTCATGTCTCCGATGGCTTATTACTGTCTATGGTGCATAATAAAAATTCCATTTGAGGTTAGCCTATTAGGTGTGCAGCCTTCTTTTCTTCTCCTTTTTTTTTTTGTTTTTGATATTTGATTAGGTGTCACCCTTCCAGACATTCTGGTGGCACCTCTATGTTCCAGATATTGTGCGTGAATTCCCCAGTGTTTCCCTTTTCCCTGATTTTTGATATTAACACCCTGTTACTTCTTGCTGTTTCCAAAATAAAAATAAAATGCCATAAGAGGATACAGCTTTGGTGACATTCCAGGTATCCAGCGTGCTGCGACAAAGATGCTGTACGGTGTTCCTGAAAACGAATTCCAGGAATGTTTCCGGCAGTGGCACAGTCATCTAGAAAAGATTACTTTGAAGGTGACAACAGCTGCTAGATAGGTAAGCCAACATTTTATTTTTTTTTTTACAGTCTATTCCAGGAATTAAATTGTCGCACCTTGTACAGCGTAGACTGGTGTTCCTCAGAGGTTGGTCATCCCCCTGTGTCAGACCAGTGTTGATCAGGGGTTGGTCATCCCCCTGTGTCAGACCAGTGTTCCTCAGGGGTTGGTCATCCCCCTGTGTCAGACCAGTGTTCCTCAGGGGTTGGTCATCCCCCTGTGTCAGACCAGTGTTCCTCGGGGGTTGGTCATCCCCCTGTGTCAGACCAGTGTTCCTCGGGGATGGTCATCCTCCTGTGTCAGACCAGTGTTCCTCAGGGGTTGGTCATCCCCCTGTGTCAGACCAGTGTTCCTCAGGGGTTGGTCATCCCCCTGTGTCAGATCAGTGTTGATCAGCGGTTGGTCAACCCCCTGTGTCAGACCAGTGTTCCTCAGGGGTTGGTCACCCCCCTGTGTCAGACCGTGTTGATCTTTAGGGGTTGGTCATCCTCCTGTGTCAGACCAGTGTTCCTCAGAGGTTGGTCATCCCCCCTGTGTCAGACCGGTGTTCCTCAGGGGTTGATCATCCTGTGTCAGACCAGTGTTGATCAGGGGTTGGTCATCCCCCTGTGCCAGACCGGTGTTCTTCAGGGTTGGTCATCCCCCTGTGTCAGACCAGTGTTGATCAGGGGTTGGTCATCCCCCTGTGTCAGACCAGTGTTGATCAGGGGTTGGTCATCCCCCTGTGTCAGACCAGTGTTGATCAGGGATTGGTCATCCCCCTGTGTCAGACCAGTGTTGATCAGGGGTTGGTCATCCCCCTGTTCCAGACCGGTGTTCCTCAGGGGTTGGTCATCCCCCTGTGTCAGACCAGTGTTGATCAGGGATTGGTCATCCCCCTGTGCCAGGCCGGTGTTCCTCAGGGGTTGGTCATCCCGCTGTGTCAGACCAGTGTTGATCAGGGTTTGGTCATCCCCCTGTGCCAGACCAGTGTTCCTCAGGGGTTGGTCATCCCCCTGTGTCAGACCAGTGTTCCTCAGGGGTTGGTCATCCTCCTGTGTAGACCAGTGTTCCTCAGGGGTTGGTCATCCCCTTTGGTGCTTTATAAGCAGGTTGCATTCTAAAGGAACCAAGCACAATCAGCTTTGTATTTGCTGAAGACCTCCTTGCTTGGATATAAATGAATGCAAGCCCTCACACTGCACAGTTATGTCTACATACAAAGGAAGTTGCACAGTCTCAGTGTAGCATTTGTGGCCAGCCTAGGGTGGTGGTTGGAAGATTTACAGATGAATGGTTGCCTCGTTGGGTGATTGTTACAGAAAAAAGACATGTATGATCGGAAGGGGACACATGCACATGGATCTTGATAATCAAAGGAAAAGGCATGTTCATTTCATTGAAAAAAACAAATGCTTTTACTGAGGCAACAAGAAAAAATGGTGCTGCGATCCCACACAATGCCTAAATATAATGCATAATCAAAACTGGATCAATGTTAATCCCCTTATAAAATCCACTATATGAGGTGAATATAATCCATTATTCACAATATCGTGCATATGCATGCAATCATAAAAAAAATCTACAACATATACAATAAATATATATATATATATATATATATATATATATATAAATATATATATAAAAATGAAAAAAAAATAGTGCAAAGAAAGAGAAAAAAAAATAGTACACGAAGACACACTTGTGTCCCTAAACAGGGTTAAAGTGACAGAAATCACTGAATCACACGTGATAAATACTTGGCATAAATGATGCCCAAAAACTGTGCAGTGAAACGATAACTGACAAATGGCACAAATAGTGCCTTAACCACTTCCAGTCCGGACACTTTTACCCCCTTCCTGCCCCCCAGGCCAATTTTTAGCTTTCAGCGCTATTACACTTTGACAATTGTGCAGTCATGCAACACTGTACCCATATGAATTTTTTACCATTTTTTTTGAGACAGATAAAACTTTATTTTGGTGGTATTTATTCTTCGCTGGGATTGTTATTTTTTTTTTCTATGTAAACGAAAAAGACCAAACATTTTGAAAAAAAAGTGTTTCTTAGAAAAAATTTGCAAATAAATAATATTTAATCATAAATCTTGGCCAAAATGTATTCCGTTATCTTTTTAGTAAAAAAAAATAAATAAATAACCCAAATTAGTTTATAACCAAAAATTATAATTTTTAAACTTTTTTTTTACATTTTTATTTTATTTTTTTATACTATATTATTGTTTTTTTTTTTTTTTACATACTGTCACCCTAGCAGTACAGTGTCACCATAGTTACACTGTACTACTTGTGGGGGGTGATGATTTTTTTTTTTCTTTTTTTTTTTACACTGATTGCTTTTACACCCATAAAGGCTGTAAAAGCAATAATTTCTCCTACTCTCTGGCTGCATTCTTGCAGCCATTGAGAACTACTGTGAGAGCTGTGATTGGTCACAGCTTGTCACATGGTAAAGGCTGTTGTGAATAGCCCTTTACCATGTGACCTCTGGGATCATTCACAGATTTCACACGTAGTAAGCAATGATGTCAGAAGTGACATCTTGCTTACTACTATTCATGTGATCACTGATTGGCCAATCAGTGATCACATGATGGGGACCTCACACAGAGGTCCCGTCCGACAATCGGTGTTCCACTGTGTCCGGAGGACACAGCGGGCACCGAATCGCGGTGCTGCGCGCTCCCAGGGAACGCGCACAAGCAGGGGGCGGGGAGGTCGTTTATAAACACCCACCTGACCCTGCACTGCCAACGTCCGCCCGTTTATATACATGGGCCGGACAGGAGGTGGTTAATGGATAGACAATAAGACGGTCAGGATAAATTAATCTGACTAAAGACAGTAGCATAGGACTACCAAAAGTCCTTCCACATACATGTGTAACCAACGTGTGATAGGTGACCAGTGGCGGACTGACAACTCATGGGGCCCCCGGGCAATAGGGGATCATGGGGCCCCTGTGTCCTTGGCCACACTCAAAAAAGTCTATGAAAAAGTTACCAGGGGCATCTCATGGGGCCCCCTACTGACCCCGAGCCCTAGTTTACAAATGGTCAGTCCGCCCCTGTAGGTGACCACATACAAAAGTGTGTAGATATATATATATATCCGTCCTCAAGTCCCTAAATTTGGGACTAAATGCTATAAAAAAAAAGGCAGAAAATTTGTGAAAACACAAATGATGATAAAGTGACACTCTGTGTTAAATAAAGAAAAATAAATATGAAAAAAAATATAAAAATACTATCGGCAGAATTGGCCAAAAACTAAATATTGTGCCCCCCAAAAACACAGAACAAAAACCAAACTCCACTTGTGTGATCCTCAATATAGCTGGAAATATTGAAAATTCCAGCCATGACCATAAATGACCATAAATGATGCAGGTGTAAGCAATGGGATCCGTCACCGGCTAGATTGCCCCCCCACCTTCATGTAGCGACCCCAAGGGGTCAAAAAGCCTTTATATTATTGGCACCGCTAAACGCCCAATCCTCCAGGTGCGGATCCGGTATCACAATAGTGGTGGTATCCCCAGGACCTAAAGGTACCACCGATCCTGGTATCCGGGTAATTTTCATAAAGGGTAATAAACTCAGCCTCCTCATATATGTTGTAAAGAAAAGAAGAAGACTCCTCCCACAGCGTAATATTGTTACATTTATTCAAGTTGGTAAATGCTCACTCACATGTTACAAGCAAAAAAACGTGCTCACAGGACCTCATGGAACACGCTGGGTGTACTGCTATGGGTAGACCAAAATGGCTCTCGTGCTGGAAGTGACGTCATCACGTCTCCGTCTATTTACTGAGCGATGCCAAAGATTGCGCTGATCAGAGCCATCGAAGAGGTTGGGATGTCAGCAGCCCCCGAACTTCCAATATCTGAGACGGGGGCAGGCTCTTCTTCAGTTCATCCTTCTTTTTGTTCCACCTGTGTCAGGCCTCCGAACCCGATCCCTTTTGGACCAAAGTTCTTAGCGTAACAAACTGGAAAGAGAGAGATGGGGGAGGGGTGTCAGTACTCGCAACAGGTAAAGGTCGATCGGTGAACCAGGGGCGGACTGACAACTCAAGGGGCCCCCGGGCAATAGGGGATCATGGGGCCCCTGTGTCCTCTCCCACACTCAAACCACACCCAAAAAAGCCTAGGAATGGTACCAGGGGCATCTCATGGGGCTCCCTGCTGACCCCGGGCCCTTGGGCAGTGCCCGAGTTCCAAAACGGTCAGTCCGCCCCTGCGGTGAACCATAAATGCTGCTTTTCCCCCCGTTGCTTGATTTAGGCAGACCTCCAGCCTGACCACACATTTGTAGCAAAATCTCTCCTGTGTTGAAATTGATTATTAAAACTCGGCTTCCCCTTTTGAAGCTGCAGCTATATTGTGTTCTTCGTTTCCTGTCTGAAAGACTTCAATCATCATCAATCCCCTCTCCTCTGGATCTGTATAGTCATTGCTTGCCCCTCCCAGCTATTGCCATTCTCTGCCATCAATCATTTTTGCTGTTTATCATGTGTGAGCGTGATCTAAAGAGCTGGCGTCACTCACTGTACTGCTGTTGTCCTGAGCATTATATGAAAGAACGCATTCCCGGGTATCCCTTTAAATGTGCATGCTCCTCCCTGCTGGTGCAGACTTTAGCTGCGCAATCTGCTGATCAATTGCTTGATTATTTTGTCCTTTCACACGGCAATCTGATCAGGTCCACTTGTCAGTTTTTCAGGCGGACCTGATCGGACGGTCCATGTATCCCTATGCCCCATACCCGCCGGTATAAAACCACTGCTGCAAAACAAGAAAAGAAAACAACTGCTCCAAAATTGACTGCAGAGCCCCATCTCAGTCTTCTACGGACTCAGTCTTCACAGGACTGAGACTGAGCTCTGCAGTCACTTTTGCAGAAGTTGTTTTCTTTGTGCAGAATTGTGACCCGGAATAAGAAAACTGCTGCAAAAGCGAATGCAGAGCTCAGTCTCAGTCTTCACGGGACTGAGACTGAGCTCTGCAGTCACTTTTGCAGCAGTTGTTTTCTTTGCGCAGGATAGTGACCCGGAATAATAAGAAAACTGCTGCAAAAGTGACTGCAGAGCTCAGTCTTCATGGGACTCAGTTTTCACGGGACTGAGATTGAGCTCTTCAATCACTTTTGCAGCAGTTGTTTTCTTTGCGCAGGATAGTGACCCGGAATAAGAAAACTGCTGCAAAAGTGACTGCAGAGCTCAGTCTCAGTCTTCATGGGACTCAGTTTTCACAGGACTGAGATTGATCTCTGCAGTCACAGCAGTTGTTTTCTTATTAAATGTCACAATCCTGTCCTTTTTTGTTCAGTCAGTTGACTGTCAGTGGACCGCGCTTATGCTTATCGGACGACGTTTCCCTGGAAACTGTACACGCCGTCGTAACTTTTGATACAGCAAATAAATTGTCGCCAGCTAAGCGGCACCAACAATTTTCCCTCTTTGAAGCTCAGTAAGCTCTGACATGACTCTGTATTACTAGCAGCACACACAGTGAAGGAGGAAAGTGAGGCTTCCCACCTGTTACCTAGGTGTCTCATCACACAGCGGAAGCAAAAGGATGTTACATCCCTTCCACTTTCACCGCAAAACATGGCGTCACTTTCACACCTGCAAATCATGGAGTGTTTCCATGTTTTTGTCTAACCCCTGTATAACTCTTGTTCCATGTCAGTGACCCAAAGCATTGAAGCCAAAGGATCAGCATGGGGGCCAGGGCTGCTGTTAGAAACAACGGGGCCCCATACAGCCAACCTGATAGGGCCCCCCTCCCCCCCCAAAAAAAAAAAAAACCCCAGTTTACTATGCTTCAGCAAAAAATGAATGTAGTGAGTGAGCGCTACTGATCACTCATTGTGTTCATTCAGGAAAAGAAGGGGCTGGTAAATGTGACACTGTGGCACTCTCCATCCTGAGGGATCCTATTGTGTGCTTGCAGCTGGGGGGGGGGGGGGGGCTGGGCTGGGCAGCAGGGGGAAATGTATGGTGCACAGGGAGGGAGATGGGTGTGGGGGGGGCAATTACTTGAACCGATCGCCTGTATGGCTCTCTGCAGCAGCTGAAAACCAGCAGGAGGGAGAGGAGAAGAATCTGGCTTTCAGCTGCTGCAGAGAGAGACATACAGGGTATCGGTTCCAGTAATTGCCCCCCGCCATCCCCATCTCCCTCCCTGTGCACCATACATTTCCCCCTGCTGACCAGCCCCCCCCCCCCCCCCCCCCCCCCGCTGCAGTGCTTCCAGCTTCCCTCCTCTCCCTCCCACCAACAGCTGCAAGCACACAATAGGATCCTTCAGGATGGAGAGTGCCATATGTGGCAGTGTCACATTTACCATCCCCTTCTTTTCCTGAATGAACACAATGAGTGAGCAGTAGCGCTCACTCACTGTATTCATTCCTTGCTGAAGCATAGCAAACTGGGGTTTTTTGGGGGGAAGGGGGGCCCTGTCAGGTTGGCTGTATGGGGATCAGTTATAGTAATTGCCCCACCCCCCCACCGTTCCGATCAACCTCCCTGCTCACATGTGATTCACCCAGCTGCCTGGGCCCCCCTGCTGGCCTGGGCCCCGTACAGGAGGACTGGTGGTACCCCCTTATGGGGGCACAGACTAGAAATGACTCCACATTTCCATTACCATGGGAGTTTATGTTTCTATGTTCTGATCTCTCATTCTGGTCAAACCTTTGCAGTAGATTTCTCCATCCTTCTCCGTCACGGTGGTGGAGTCCAGACTCTTCCCGCACAGCGCACAGCGGAAGCAGGTTTTATGCCAGGGCTGCAGAGAAAAGAACAACCATTATCACAAACCCCTCTTATCCCCCGACGTCCCGTATCAACGGGGTAAAGGCAAAAGAATAACGAGGAGCAACAGAAGTCCCCCAGGGTGACTTTCCCCACCGGGGGCACAGACGGCAGTAAAAACCTGACCATAGACCGAGGATAGAGGCACCCAGAGTCCACGATATTTTATGTAAAGTCGACACATTTCGGGAGTTGTAAGAATCCTCCTTCTTTAGGGCTGAATGAGTTCAGGAAAAGTCTGGACCGGATATTATTCCGAAGTACTGGTGATCCATTGGCTGGCAGTCCTGTTGGGAGTCTTCTATCACACTGTAGTTTGTCAGCCGAACCAAGGCTTTCTTGAGCTCAGCCCTGAGGGAGGGAGTTTTACCACCCCGAAACGTGTTGGCGATTTTGAATAAAACATCGCTCCAGGCTTTCATAATTGGAGTTGGGCATCTATCCTTCATTTTATATTCAGGTTTTCCTATGGACTACCCACAGAAGTTCTAGGAAAAGTAGAGCCACCAGGTGACTCCAATATTTTAAAAATTCCTAGCTTTATAAACACCCACCTAGCACTCCCCATTATCCAAAATGAAAGACAAAAATGGAATTTTTTTGTACCATAAAACCTTTTCTCTGTGTTTGGGGGGACACAGCTGTGTTCTAGAACAGGGGTCTCTAAACTGCGGCCCTTTGCTTGCCTTTATCTGACCCTTGGGGCACTTTTGCTTCCACTGATACGAGGCACAATTCCTCCCTCTGACACCAACAATGGGGCAATAATTCCTGCACTGACAGCAACAATGGGGCACTATTCCTCCCACTGACACCAACAATGGGGCACTATTCCTCCAACTGATACCAACAATGGGACAATAATTCCTGCACTGACACCAACAATGGGGCACTATTCCTCTCACTGACACCAACAATGGGACAATAATTCCTGCACTGACACCAACAATGGGACAATATTCCTCCCACTGACACCAAAAATGGGACAATAATTCCTGCACTTACACCAACAATGGGGCACTATTCCTCCAACTGATACCAACAATGGGACAATAATTCCTGCACTGACACCAACAATGGGGCACTATTCCTCCCACTGACACCAACAATGGGACAATAATTCCTGCACTTACACCAACAATGGGGCACTATTCCTCCCACTGACACCAACAATGGGGTACTATTCCTCCCAATGACACCAACTATAGATTCCCACTCAAAAATAGACCCCAGGAATAATAGACCCCCTCCCTCAACAGTAGTAGATATTTCCCAGTAAAAAATGACCCCCCAGAAACATAAGACCCCACTAGCAACAGCAGATCTCCCACCAGCAACAATAGATCCCCACTCAAAAATAAATCCCCAGCAGCAACAACGGATCTATAAACCCTCCAGCAACCAGCAATAATAGACCCCCTCCCTCAACAGTAGTTATTTCCGCCAGAAACAGAGGACCCCCCTAGCAACAACAGATCCCCCACTAGCAACATAAGTTCCTCACTCAAAAATACATCCCCTCCAGCAACAACAGATCCCATGGAAGCAAGCATCAATAGTCCCTCCAGCACCCCTTACCATTACATACATCCAGTGGTAAAAGTGGCGGGCCCGTGTTCCCCTGCGTTCCCCCGTTTTCTCACTGAAAATAAACCCTGATCCTTGCTCAGGATTCCGATTACAACCAATGAATGTGACTCACCCTTCCCCCGCCAATAACTTTCTCAGCAGCGTAGACGGATTTCCCACATCTGGGGCACTTCTCCGTGGCACCGGACTTCTGTGCAAACTTGGAGGAGTGTGTGGTGGTCGGGGAGCCACGGGACGGGTGGGTCCTACAGAGACACAGATGGGTTTGGTGAGGCTACAGAATTCAAGGAGTTTTATAGACGGGTCAAACTGATATTAGTTTGCATTAAATGCTGGATAGTCAGGCCTTGTTCACACGGGGTGTGTCCGCTCCCCATGTAGGGCTGCGTAATACCAGCAAGGGGATGCACAGGGGTCGCGTGCATCCCCGTGCCAGCAGTCCCATAGCCGTCAATTGAGATGCCACGGCTGAATGGACACGGCCGCTGCACCCAACGTGACGCTCCATGACCCCGAACACCCCAACAATGGTCGGACTGGATGTCTGCCCCACCCATGTATGAAAAACATGTCCAGATTGGTCAAAGACCATTGACAATTACAAAATTACAATATTGGATACACAGAATATAACTGGATATAACATTTATAGGTAGAGTCGATCCAGGGAATATTCGATTGGCTCTCGGGGGATCAGGAAGGAATTTTTTCCCTGCGGGAACAAATTGGATCGTGCTTTGCTGGGTTTTTTTCTCCTTCCTCTGGATCTATTGTGGGTGTAGGATTATAACTTTTTTTTTTTAATGGTTGAACTGGATGGACTTTTGTCTTTTTTCAGCCAGACTAACTATGTTATTATTATTCAGTAACCAATAGAACAAGCAATAAGCCATAGCAACCAATCAAAATGTCTGCAACTAGAAGACGATGGATTACGATTGGTTGCTGCGCGTCGAGATCAGGGGTGGACTGACCATTTAGGCTCTTGGGCACTGCCCGAGGGCCGGGGTCAGTAGGGGGTCCCGTGAGATGCCCCTGGTACCTTTCATAGGCTTTTTTGGGTGTGGTTTGAGTGTGGATGAGGACACAGGGGCCCCATGATTTCCTATTGCCCGGGGGCCCCATGATTTGTCAGTCTGCCCCTGGTCAAGATCACTAATACACAGGGGCGAACTGACAACTCATGGGGTCCCCGGGCAATAGGGGATCCCGGGGCCCCTGTGTCCTTGCCCAAACTCGAAAAAGCCTATGAAAAAGGTACCAGGGGCATCTCATGGGGCCTCCTACTGACTCCGGGCCCCCTACTGACTCCGGGCCCTCGAGTTTCCAATGGTCAGTCCGCCCCTGCTAATACATACACACTTTTACTGGATTTGTATATTTTCAGGATAACAATGGAAAATTGTATCGAATACTTACTGTAATTTTCCTTTCCTGGCACCGATCCATGGCAACATTCATGTGCTAGTATGCTGCCATTTTGGCGCCAGGAATGACTTTCGGAAGAGTTTTATCTTCAGGGGATGAGTGGGACAACAAACCTCCATGTTTTTTTTTTTTTTTTTAATGGCATGTATTACCCAGAATCACACATCCCAATGACACATGGAACACCAGATATATGCCACCGAGATAAACACAGAAATCTTGGGGTTTAATCTCCAAAGCCCTGACAAAGGCAGTCTCTAATTCCCCCGAAGCGCGTCGGGATGTATTTTCAAAGCCTGGACAGGTGTTGCATAGTTGTTTAAAATATCGTACTCACTGAGCCACTTCGATGCCAAATCTCTCTCCGGTATCGGTGCTCAGGCAGCCAGCTCCTTGTCCATACCCGTATCCCTTGGGGCCGTACTTCCGACCGTAGCAAGATTTGCAGTATATCTCAGACTCATGCGCTGCCACTGTGGTGCTGTCCAGGGCTTTCCTGCATACCACTGCAGAACAATATGGCGGGTTATACAGGGGCTACAGATGCTAGAGGGAATGCACTTAAACCTGGACCCCGCATTCACTATTTCTGGTCTCCCAGGACCCCGAATTCACTATATCCGCTCTCCCCGACCCCGCATTCACTATATCTGCTCTCCCCGGACCCTGCATTCACTATATCCTCTCTCCCCGGACCCTGCATTCACTATATCCTCTCTCTGGACCCTGCCCTATACCCTGCATTCACTATATCTGCTCTCCCCCTCTCCCGGACCCTGCATTCACTATATCTGCTCTCCCCGGACCCTGCATTCACTATATCCTCTCTCCCTGGACCCTGCATTCACTATATCCGCTCTCCCCGGACCCCGCTTTAACTATATCCGGTCTCCCCGGACCCTGCATTCATTATATCCGCTCTCCCCGGACCCTGCATTCACTATATCCCCTCTCCCCAGAGTCTGCATTCACTATATCCGCTCTCCCCGGACCCCGCATTCACTATATCCGCTCTCCCCCGGACCCTGCATTCACTATATCCGCTCTCCCTGGACCCTGCATTCACTATATCCGCTCTCTATATCCTGCATTCACTATATTCAGTCTCTCCGGACCCTGTATTCACTATATCCGCTCTCCCCGGACCCCGCATTCACTATATCTGGTCTCCCCGGACCCTGCATTCACTATATTTGCTCTCCTCGGACCCTGCATTCACTATATCCGCTCTCCCCGGACCCTGCACTCACTATATTTGCTCTCGCCGGACCCTGCATTCACTATATCCACTCTCCCCGGACCCTGCATTCACTATATCCGCTCTCCCCAGACCCCGCATTCACTATATCCGCTCTCCCCGGACCCCGCATTCACTATATCTGCTCTCCCCGGACCCCCGCATTCACTATATCCGCTCTCCCCGGACCCCGCATTCACTATATCCGCTCTCCCCGGACCCCGCATTCACTATATCCGCTCTCCCCGGACCCCGCATTCACTATATCCGCTCTCCCCGGACCCCGCATTCACTATATCCGCTCTCCCCCCCCGACCCCGCATTCACTATATCCGCTCTCCCCGGACCCCGCATTCACGATATCCGCTCTCCCCGCACTCCTGCATTGACGATATCCGCTCTCCCCGGACCCCGCATTCACTATATCCGCTCTCCCCGGATCCCGCATTTACTATATCCGCTCTCCCCGGACCCAGCATTCACTATATCTGCTCTCCCACAGTACACAGAACATGGGAATGCAATTATTTTAGTAAATATAAACTGCTAAATCCCTTTTCTCATCAGTAGTATAGAGCAGTCTTGTGACTTCTATCAGTGTCCAGCAGGCCACTGGTTAAAGCCTGTAGGAGGAGTATTAATTCTGCCCTAGAACAGGGATAGGCAACCTGTGGCTCTCTAGCTGTTCTGGAACTACATTTCCCATGAGGCATTGCAAAAATGACAAAACTGACAGTTACAGCTATGACTTGCAGAGGCATGATGGAACTTGTAGTCCTGTGGCTCTCAGGTTGCCTACCCCTGCCCTAGAAGGATGTAAAACACCTGACCTCTGTCTGGACAGTGCTGATTGGCCCTGAGCTGATCAAATGCACTCGCCCAAGAAAAAAAAACCTCTCTAGAAATACACACCAAACTGAGCATGTGCAAACTGCCTACGGTTCAGGTTTATCGGGAGATAAGAGGTGGTCGCTTGAAAAAGGGGAGGAACACAGAAGTCAGGCTCAAACAGCCTTTTTACACAATGCAGAGAATTAACCCCTTAGGTTCCCCTGAGTATAACAGCATGCTTTACTGCATCTACAGACTGATTGTACTGTTGTGGGTTCAGTAACACTTTAAATCTGCTTATATTTTGCCTCCAAGTAATAAATGGAATATATTAATACAAAATATTATTTGTACGTCTGCCTCATGGAAACAAAGCAAGCGGGGAGGATGTGAATTAAGAAATCCCGAAGGTTTTAATACAGTTTGCTAAAACAAAGGGAAAAGATATTCAGGATTGAATTCACATTTGCAAAAGCGGGTGACATGTACTTCCATTTTCTGCACTTACTGCAGATGAAGCACGGCTTGTGGAAGCTCCTCCCGTTACATTGTATCTCCTCGGCGTGGTAAACCGTCTTGCCGCAGGCTCCGCACTTGGCGCCTCCACCCAGGTTTGGCATTGCTGAAAAATTAGAGTCTGAAAAAAAGTGAAATGATTAATGTCATAGTAAATGTAAAGCCGAGAATGACGCCTCATATGAGCTGCATGTCCATTAAACCCAAAAGTTGATTTTGGGCTGTTTAACCACCTTAAGTCTGGACACTTTCCCCCCCTTCCAGTCCGGACACTTTCCCCCCCTTTCAGTCTGAACACTTTCCCCCCCTTCCAGTCCAGACACTTTCACCCCCTTCCAGTCCGGACACTTTCACCCCTTCCAGTCCGGACACTTTCACCCCTTCCAGTCCGGACACTTTCCCCCCCTTCCAGTCCGGACACTTTCACCCCCTTCCAGTCCGGACACTTTCCCCCCCTTCCAGTCCAGACACTTTCACCCCCCTTCCAGTCCAGACACTTTCACCCCCCCCTTCCAGTCCGGACACTTTCACCCCCCTCCAGTCCGGACACTTTCACAGCCTTCCAGTCCAGACACTTTCACCCCCTTCCAGTCCGGACACTTTCACCCCTTTCCTGTCCAGACACTTTCCCCCCCTTCCAGTCCAGGCCAATTTTTAGCTTTCAGTGCTATCACACTTTGAATGACAATTACACAGTCATGCAACACTGTACCCATATGAATTTTTTTAAATTTTTTGGAGACCAAGATTTATTTTGGTGGTATTTATTCAGCGCTGGGATTTTTATTTTTTATTTTTAGTAAAAAAAAGAAAAAAAAAAAAAAAAGAACCCAAATTAGTTTATAACCAAAAATTATAATTTAAAAAATTATTTTTTTTTTCATATTATTATTTATGTTTTTTTTTCTACATACTGTCACCCTAGCAGTAGCTATTTGTGGGGGGTGACAAAGATTTTTTATTTTTTTTACACTGATTGCGTTTACACCCATAAAGGCTGTAAAAGCAATAATTTCTCCTTCTCTCTGGCTGCATTCTTACAGCCATTGAGAACTACTGAGTGAGCTGTGATTGGTCATAGCTTGTCACATGGTACAAGACTGTTGTGAATAGCCCTGTACCATGCGACCTCTGTGATCATTCACAGATTTCACACGTAGTAAGCAATGATGTCAGAAGTGACCTCTTGCTTACTACTCTGCATGTGATCACTGATTGGCCAACCAGTGATCACATGATCGGCACCTTGCACAGAGGTCCCGTATGATGATCGGTGTTCCACTGTGTCTGGAGGACACAGCGCACACCGGATCACGGTGCTGCACGCTCCTGGGGAATGCGCACGGTCCATAATGGCGGGTGTCGTTTATTAACGGCAACCCACCCCTGGAGTGCCACTGTCCGGCTGTTTATATACAGCAGCCAGACGGCAAGTGGTTAAATTGGCAGCTGTTATCAAAATAATCACTGATGATCCTGCCCTGGAGGTCCTTGTTCAGGCACTTCCTGTTATAGGGTGACAGCGCTCTGTCTCTGTTTGTACTGAAGACTGCGCTGGATTGACAGGATCAGTCACTGGTCGTAGGTGGGTGGTTGCGTTGGTGGGTAGGGGGAAGACCCTTCAGTCAGTTGTCCCCAATGGTGGATACTGGCGGTAAACCCTCTTAGGGTTTGGGCTGCTTTCTGGTGCAGTCTTGAGGTTGTTTCCACACGTATATCTGTAATAATAAAAAAGAAGGAGCACCCAACATCCAAAAGAATGCACTTTTGATGGTAGATTAGGAAGCATTTATTGAGAGTAACAACAAATACATCAAGCCAACGCGTTTCGGGAGAGAAGACTCTCCCTTCTTCAGGGCTATTAACTGCTTACCCACCGTCGTATAGCAGATATACTGCTACACGGCAGCACGGGTGCACAAATCACATTATATATATATACACGTGATTTTGCATTTCCTGATGGGGGGTGTGTGCAAGCCTCACGCGTGCCCTGCCCGCGCCACTCAGTGGGTCCCGGCCCAGTGATTACTGACAATCACCAACGGGGAGGAAGACTGTTTTGTTTACAGTCTTCCTTTTTGTCAGCTCGTGCACACTGCACAGCACAGCCATCCAGAGCAGTGTGATAACAGTGAAACACACACCTCCCACCCCCTAGTAAAACACTCCCAGTACACAGTTAACCCTTTGATCACCCCTCACATTAACCCTTCCTGCCCAGTGGCATTAGTACAGCATCAGTGCTGTTTTTTTTTAGCACTGATCACTGTATTGGTGTCACTGGCAGCAGTCCCACTATAAGTCGCTGATCGCCGCTATTACTAGTAGGAAACAAAATCCCAATATATACACTGTCATTTGTAAACGCTATAACTCGCACGTAAACCATTTAATTTACACGTATTGGGATTTTTTTTTTTCAGCAAAGACATATCGCAGAATACATTTTGGCCGAAATTTATAACAAAATTTTATTTTTTTAAAAAGTTTTACTGGACATGTTTAATAGCAAAAAGTCCAAAATATTATTTTTTTTCCTCAAAATTGTGAGTCTTTTTTGCTTGTAGCACAAAAAATAAAAACTCCACAGGTGATCAAATACCACACAAAGAAAGCTCAATTCGTGGGAAAAAAAGGACGTCAATTTAACCTGGGTGCAGCGTTGCATGACCTCACAATTGTCAGTTAAAGTAACGTAGCACCATAACACAAAAAATGGCATGGTCAGGAAGGGGAGGGGGGTAAATCCTCTGGAGGGCGAGGGCTCAAATAAAAAAAAAAAAAAATACAGAGAAACAAATATATGAGAGAAAAACACAGTAGTACATACATACTATTTTTTTCATATACATACTGGGTTTTTTTTTCTCTTTCTCATATATTTGTTTCTCTGTATATTTTTTGTATTTGTCTAATAGCCCTGAAGAAGGGAGAGTCTTCTCTCTTAAAACGCGTTGGCTTGATGTATTTGTTGTTACTCTCAATAAATGCCTCCTAATCCACCATCAAAAGTGCATTCTTTGGGCGTGCCTTCTTTTCTACTATTCCAACGATCTGTCCTTGTCTCCCAGTTGTTCCCCAGCTTTTGTCTCCCTGTCACACAGGCATTAGAGATTGGCAACACTGACACACATTACTCAAGTATGGTCCACTGTTGTCACCATCAGGAAACCTGCCCTGAGAAATTGTTTCCAGCAATTCCTGGAGTGCACAGAGGCAAGAAGAGTCGCTTTCATTTCTTCTCTCGTTCTCATCCTTTTCTCTCTTTCTTTTTTTTCCCTTCTTTTTTTCTTCTTCCTCATTTTCTTTCCTTCTTCCATTCTTTCTTGTCAGTTTTTTTTCATTCAAACCACCCGAAGTAAACTGACTAATGTATAGGCTGGGGTTTTAGGCAAGGTTAGTGTTACACTGTTAAACTGAATGAGTATAAATTCGACCACAAAATCTTAGGAAAAGAATGTTCTAAGAAAGTTGATTAGTTTTTCCAATCATTTGTGGGGTCAAACTGATGTTCATTTCCAGTGATGTGATGGGAAATTTCGAAGGAGGAGGATGGAAAATTTTCCTCGAACAAATGAATTTCTAGCAATGTATGTGGTTTTCGTTAGGTAAATCCATTTATTCTAAAATCAAATGTTAAAAGCAAGCAAAATCTTTTGAATGATATTCAAATGTTCTGAGAATTTTCATACAAAATTTCCAAGACTTTTCCTAAGAATTTTCATTCAAAACTCTATCCATCTATGGCCAGCTTTAGGTTCAGTATTGGGGCTGCAGGGAGAGTTGGTGTTGGGGTTCGGGTTACAGGGAGGGTTCATGTTTGGGTTAGTTTTGGGGTTATAAGGATATTTAGGGTTGGGGTTAATTGAAGGACTATTATTATGATCACATGGAGAGTTGGGGTTATAGAGAAGGTTAGGGTTGGGTCTACAAAGAGGGTTAGTATTGGGGTTACAGGGAGAGTTAGTGTTGGGGTTCAGGTTACAGGGAGGGTTAATGTTAGGGATAGTGTGGGGGTTGTAAGGCTATTTAGTTTTAGGGTTGGGGTTACAGAGAAGGTTAGTGTGGGGTTGGTTGGTGTTACAGAGAAGGTTAGTGTGGGGTTGGGGTTAGTTGGTGTTACAGAGAAGGTTAGTGTGGGGTTGGGGTTAGTTGGTGTTACAGAGAAGGTTAGTGTGGGGTTGGGGTTAGTTGGGGTTACAGAGAAGGTTAGTGTAGGGTTGGGGTTAGTTGGGGTTACAGAGAAGGTTAGTGTGGGGTTAGTTGAAGAACTATGGTCACATGGAGAGTTAGGGTTAGGGGGCTACAAAAAGGATTAGTATTGGGGTTACAGGGAGAGTTAGTGTTGGGGTTCAGGTTACAGGGAGGTTTGATGTTAGGGTTAGTTTTGGGGTTAAAAGGGTATTTAGTTTTTGGGGGTTGGGGTTACAGAGAAGGTTAATGTGGGGTTGATTGGGGTTACAGGGAAGGTTAGTGTGGGGGATGGGGTTACAGGGAAGGTTAGTGTGGGGTTGGGGTTGGTTGGGGTTACAGAGAAGGTTAGTGTGTGGTTGTGGTTAGTTGGGGTTACAGAGAAAGTTAGTGTGGGGTTGGGGTTAGTTGGGGTTACAGAGAAAGTTAGTGTGAGGTTGGGGTTAGTTGGGGTTACAGAGAAGGTTAGTGTGGAGTTGGGGTTACAGGGAAAGTTACTGTGGGGTTGGGGTTGGTTGGGGTTACAGAGAAGGTATGTGTGGGGTTGGGGTTACAGAGAAGGTTAGTGTGGAGTTGGGGTTACATGGAAAGTTACTGTGGGGTTGGGGTGGTTGGGGTTACAGAGAAGGTTAGTGTGGGGTTGGGGTTGGTTGGGGTTACAGGGAAGGTTAGTGTGGGGTTGGGGTTAGTTGGGGTTACAGAGAAAGTTAGTGTGGGGTTGGGGTTAGTTGGGGTTACCGAGAAGGTTAGTGTGGAGTTGGGGTTACAGGGAAGGTTTGTGTGGGGTTGGGGTTAGTTGGGTGTTACAGAGAAGGTTAGTGTGGAGTTGGGGTTACAGGGAAGGTTTGTGTGGGGTTGGGGTTAGTTGGGGTTACAGAGAAGGTTAGTGTGGAGTTGGGGTTACAGGGAAGGTTCGTGTGGGGTTGGGGTTAGTTGGGGTTACAGAGAAGGTTAGTGTGGAGTTGGGGTTACAGGGAAGGTTTGTGTGGGGTTGGGGTTAGTTGGGGTTACAGAGAAGGTTAGTGTGGAGTTGGGGTTACAGGGAAGGTTCGTGTGGGGTTGGGGTTAGTTGGGGTTACAGAGAAGGTTAGTGTGGGGTTGGGGTTAGTTGGGGTTACAGGGAAGGTTAGTGTGGGGTTGGGGTTAGTTGGGGTTACAGAGAAGGTTAGTGTGGGGGGTCCTTAGGGCACACCATTCCTCTGTGCACCAAACACTTCCAGCAGCGATCCTTCAGACAATAAATCCTAAGGCAATGACTACAGTCTCTATTAACAGGAAAAGCACCGCAGATTACATCGAAAAGCTGTGGGATTTAGCAGCTTGTTAGTACAAAAAAAAAAAATCACCAGTTTTTCCAGGTGCAAAAAACATCCAAGAACAAATCATGAGAACGTGTCCCAGTCCTGAGAATTGGGGACAGCTGTAGTTGTTTGGTCACAGGGGGCTCACCTGTCCTTCTCCGGTGGCGTCTCAGGGAGTATGAGGTCTGTTCCCACTCTGGGACCTTTTAAATTCCCCAGAAAGATCTTTCCCCGGGCGATGATTGATGCTGAAGAACATCTCTGAATTCAGAGGGTTGAAAATAGCTCCTGAGATATTTAGTCTCAGGTTTTCCAAGACTTTTCCTAAGAATGTTTGTACAAAATTCTATCCATCTATGGGCAGCTTTAGGCTCAGTATTGGAGTTACAGGGAGAGTTAGTGTTGGGGTTCAGGTTACAGGGAGAGTTATTGTTAGGGTTAGTGTTGGGGTTATAGAGATGTTTAGTCTTAGGGTTGAAGTTAGTTGAAAGCTAATATTATGGTCACATGAAGATTTAGGGTTGCAGTTATAAGGAAGATAGTGTTGGGGGCTACAAAGAGGGTTAGTGTTAGGGTTAGTATTGGGGTTAAAGGGAGAGTTAGGGCTCGTTTACACTTGCTTTGACTTTAAAACACATGAAACCACCTACCGCTTCAACATGCTTCATGCTTCTGCAATGCTTTGATGATGCTTGGGTGGTGCTTCAATGATGCTTTGTGGTGCTTTTTTAAGCTTTAATGAAGATTTGTCATAGACTTCTATTGAGGCTTTGAAGATGCTTTGAAGCACCACTAAAGCAAACTCAATGTGTAAAGAGGACTGTAAACAAAATACTTTATTTAGTGACAGGCTTTGACTGCTATTTAGAGTGCTTTAAAAAACAAAAAGCGTGTCCAATGCCATGTTTTGAAGTTAGTGTTGGGGTAAAAATTCTCTCTCTGGAGTCTATAGTTACATAGTCTGGATGAAAAAAGACAAAAGTCCATCTAGTTCAACCATTAAAAAAAAATGATCCAGAGGAAGGCAAGAAAAACCAGCAAAGCACGATCCAATCTGCTCCTGCAGGGGAAAAAATTCCTTCCTGATCCCCCGAGAGGCAATCGGATATTCCCTGGATCAACTTTACCTATAAATGTTATATCCAGTTATATTTTGTGTATCCAAGAAAGAATCCAGGACTTTCCTACAGCAATCCACTGAGCTGGCCACAACCAACTCTTGAGGGAGTCTAATCCACATTTTCACAGTTCTCACTGTGAAGAAACCTTCAGAAAACCTGAAGAATACCTTTTTTGTTTGGAGATTAAATGAGCCCTTAGTGTTGGGGCTACAAAGAGGGTTAGGGTTAGGATTGGGGTTACAGGGAGAATTAGTGTTGGGGTCCAGGTTACAGGGAAAGTTAATGTTTGGGTTAGTGTTGGGGTTATAAGGATATTTAGTCCTAGGGTTGAGGTTAGTTGAAGGACTATAGGAGGGCTATGGTCACATGGAGAGTTATGGTTGGGGCTACAAAGAGGGTTAGTATTGGGGTTACAGGGAGAGTTAGTGTTGGGGTTCAGGTTACAGGGAGGGTTGATGTTAGGGTTAGTTTTGGAGTTAAAAGGGTATTTCGTTTTTGGGGGTTGGGGTTACAGAGGTTAGTGTAGGGTTGGGGTTGGTTGGGGTTACAGAGAAGGTTAGTGTGGGGTTGGGATTGCAGAGAAGGATAGTGTGGGGTTGGGGTTAAAGGGAAGGATAGTGTGGGATTGGGGTTAGTTGGGGTTACAGAGAAGGTTAGTGTGGGGTTGGGGTTACAGAGAAGGTTAGTGTGGGATTGGGGTTGCAGAGAAGGTTAGTGTGGGGTTGGGATTGGTTGGGGTTACAGAGAAGGTTAGTGTAGGGTTGGGGTTACAGAGAAGGTTAGTGTAGGGGGTTGGGGTTACAGAGAAGGTTAGTGTGGGGTTGGGGTTACAGAGAAGGTTAGTGTAGGGTTGGGGTTACAGAGAAGGTTAGTGTGGGATTGGGGTTGCAGAGAAGGTTAGTGTGGGGTTGGGATTGGTTGGGGTTACAGAGAAGGTTAGTGTAGGGTTGGGGTTTACAGAGAAGGTTAGTGTAGGGTTGGGGTTACAGAGAAGGTTAGTGTGGGGTTGGGGTTACAGAGAAGGTTAGTGTAGGGTTGGGGTTACAGAGAAGGTTAGTGTAGGGTTGGGGTTACAGAGAAGGTTAGTGTAGGGTTGGGGTTACAGAGAAGGTTAGTGTGGGATTGGGGTTGCAGAGAAGGTTAGTGTGGGGTTGGGATTGGTTGGGGTTACAGAGAAGGTTAGTGTAGGGTTGGGGTTACAGAGAAGGTTAGTGTAGGGTTGGGGTTACAGAGAAGGTTAGTGTGGGGTTGGGGTTACAGAGAAGGTTAGTGTGGGGTTGGGGTTACAGAGAAGGTTAGTGTGGGGTTGCAGAGAAGGTTAGTGTGGGGTTGGGGTTACAGAGAGGTTAGTGGGGGGTTGGGATTGGTTGGGGTTACAGAGAAGGTTAATGTGGGGTTGGGGTTACAGAGAAGGTTAGTGTGGGGTTGGGGTTACAGAGAAGGTTAGTGTGGGGTTGCAGAGAAGGTTAGTGTGGGGTTGGGGTTGCAGAGAGGTTAGTGGGGGGTTGGGATTGGTTGGGGTTACAGAGAAGGTTAGTGTGGGGTTGGGGTTGCAGAGAAGGTTAGTGTGGGGGGGTCCTTAGGGCACACCATTCCTCTGTGCACCAAACACTTCCAGCAGCGATCCTTCAGACAATAAATCCTAACACACCGATCACAGTCTCTACTAACAGGGAAAGCACCGCAGATGCCATCAGAAAGTTGTGCGATTTAGCGGCTTGTTGGTGTAAAAAAAAAATCACCAATATTTCCAGGTGCAAAAACATTCAAGAACAAATCATGAGAACGTGTCCCAGTCCTGAGAATTGGGGACGGTTGAAGCTGTTTGGTCACAGGGGACTCACCTGTCCTTCTCCGGTGGCGTCTCAGGGAGTATAAGGTCTGTTCCCACTCCGGGACCCTTTAAATTCCCCAGAAAGATCTTTCCCCGGGTGATGATTGATGCTGAGGAACATCTCTGAAATCAGAGGGCTGAAAATAGCTCCTGAGCAGTCCCTGGACTTTTTTCCTAATACTGCGATAGAGATGGATAACAATGTGTTCTGGAATTCCACTCAGGATCACAGCTTTCCAGTCCTGCGGCTCATGTTACTCAGAATGACGAGCCCTTCGCGGCTGCCCCAAACCGCACAGGAAATCCCCGCAGCGAGGAAATGGTTAATATCGTCCAATAATAACGCAGCTGTTTTGGGCATTCGGTTCTGAGTGGAACGTATAGAATTCTTTAAAGCTAAAGTTTAATCTGCTTCTATTTTACCTTCCCTGGGTTGCTCCCCCTCCCCCATCAGCAACCTACTAATGATATTTTGGGGTAAAACTATTCCGTTTTCCTTGCGATTTAGATCCAGCGACATCATCACTGGGTCTCTGTTCTTCTCTCAAAATTCTAAATAAATCTGTCTGTCTTCATGAATACCTTATTTTTGGCCCAGTGACTTCATCCCAGGGTCTCTGTGCTTCTTTATGCAATGCAGGCAGATCATGGCGGGTGGGAGGGGTTGGTAGAGTGATATACATGGCTTCCTGAAGACGTCACAGCATCCTGCCTCAGTACTCCTCTCAAGAGCCCTCAGTCCTGATCAGGGGCGAACTGACAACTCATGGGGCCTCTGGGCAATAGGGGATCATGGGGCCCCTGTGTCCTCGCCCACACTCAAACCACACCCAAAAAAGCCTATGAAAGGTACCAGGGACATCTCATGGGGCCTCCTTCTGACCCTGGGCCCTCGGGCAGTGCCCGAGTTCCCAAATGGTCAGTCCGCCCCTGGTCCTGATACAAGCAGTGGGCCGGCTCTTGCGAGGAGTTATGCAAATATTAAAAAATGCCTTGATGGGTGGGTGTCAGGCTGGAGGAGTGGGTGTTCCTAGGCAGGCTGGAGGAGTGGGTGTGCCTAGGCAGGCTGGAGGAGTGGGTGTGTGCCTAGGCAGGCTGGATTTGTATGCAGATCACATGTGATGCTGATCCTGATGATTGAAATAAAATGAAATCCAATGAATGAAAGGGGCAGGGCCAGGGACAGAGAACGAGAAGGAAAGAGCTAGATGGTGCTGGGCGTCCACCAGCCAGGAAATGAGGCGGGGTCTATCGGACTTGCCGTAGCTTTTATTTCAAATTGTGAGAAGCTCACAGAAGCTGAGAAGCGGGTGGACTGCAACATCACCTGCCCATCCCCCCTCCACTCTGAGAATGCCTTATATTCAATGAAAAAAATTCAATGCATTTGCTGAATGGTGGTGGCGCCAGGCGATTGACGCTGTGTGCTCAGTGCGCAGAGGGGAGGATCGTGCCACTCGCTGTATGTAGTGTTTATCAGCAATCCCAGCAGATATAAGGTATGGATAATTATGTGCCAAGCTGGCCAGTGTAAGCTTCCCATATATAGACCAGGGGTCTCCAAACTTTCTATACAAAGGGCCAGTTTGCTGTCCTTCAAACTTTACGGGGGCCGGACTGTGGACATTGGGAGCATCAAATGTCCCAGCATCAGTGGGAGCAAAAAAATGCCCCATCTTTGGTGCCAGTGAGAGGAACTGTGCCCCATCGTTGGTGTCATTGGGAGGAATAGTGCCCATCATTGGTGTTATTGGGCCCAATTGTTGGTGTCATTGGGCAGAACTGTGCCCTATCGTTGGTGTCATTTGGAGGAATTTTGCCCCTTCATTAGTGTTATTGGGCCCAATTGTTGGTGTCGATGGGCGGAACTGTGCCCTATCGGTGTCATTGGGAGGAATTTTGACCCATCATTGGTGTTATTGGGCCAATTGGTGTCATTGGGAGGAATAGTGCCCCATCATTTGTGTCAGTGGGAGGAATAGTGCCCCACCATTGATGCTATTGGGCCCAATTGTTGGTGTCATTGGGTGGAACTGTGCCCTATCGGTGTCATTGGGAGGAATTTTGCCCCTTCATTGGTGTTATTGGGGCCCAATTGTTGGTGTCGATGGGCGGAACTGTGCCCTATCGTTGGTGTCATTGGGAGGAATTTTGCCCCTTCATTGGTGTTATTGGGCCCTATTGGTTTCATTGGGAGGAATAGTGCCCCATCATTAGTGTCATTGGGAGGAATAGTGCCCCATCATTGGTGTTATTGGGTCCAATTGTTTGTGTCATTGGGTGGAACTGTGCCCCATCGTTGGTGTCATTGGGAGGAATTGTGCCCCATCATTGGTGTTATTGGGCCCAATTGTTGGTGTCATTGGGAGGAATTGTGCTCCATCATTGGTGTTATTGGGCCCAATTGGTGTCATTGGGAGGAATAGTGCCCCATCATTTGTGTCAGTGGGAGGAAAAGTACCCATCATTGGTGTTATAGGGCCAATTGTTGGTGTCATTGGGTGAAACTGTGCCCCATCATTGGTGTCATTGGGAGGAATTGTGCCCCTTCATTGGTTTCATTGGGGGAATTATAGCCCACCATTGGTGTTGGTGTCATTGGGTGGTACTGTGCCCCATTGTTGGTGTCATTGGGAGGAATTTTGCCCCTTCATTAGTGTTGTTGGGCCCAATTTTTGGTGTCATTGGGCAGAACTGTGCCTCATCGTTGGTGTTATTGGGAGGAATTATGCCCCATCATTGGTATCAGTAGATGAAATAATGCCCCAAGGCACAGATAAAAGCAAGCAAAGGGCCGCATCTGGCCCCCGGGCCACAGTTTGGAGACCACTGATCTAGACAATTGCTGGAGTTCAGCCTATAACAGAACACCTTCATCTCAATGTCATATATGACTCCCAGTGCAGGAATCAGAGAGTGGTATTGTATGTCCTATCCATCCCCGACAATCTGCTCTTTTCATTTGTAACTTTTATCGATATTCCAGATTTCTTACCCGGCCAAGGAAAATATGAGCCCCCCCCCCCCATCCCACCCCACCCTACATGGATCGACGGCCTCACTGAGAACCTGAAACGCTTAGAAGAGCACAGAGGGCAGTGATGTCACAAAGAAAAGACCCCCGAACAGCCGATCAAATTTCAGTTTTCTGTGGCTTTTGTCAATAAAGAGGACCTGTCATCTGCCACTGCCGAATTCAAAGTATAAAGGAACACCAGCTGTGTACTTGTCAGGACTCCTGATGCCAGATGGCCAACAAGACAGCTGAGCAAATGGCATTTTCAGAGGCAGGAACAGCTGAGCCCATGTTTTTCCCATACCGGGTTTTCTTTAAAGGTGCCGACTCCAGGGTGGTCTGCTTGGTCCTAGATAACGAGCCCGGGGCACCAAGGGCAAGGGGAGTGTAGACTGGTGAGCTGCCATTCTGCCCTGACTGTGGGCACCCTCTACAGAATGGAGGCCAGTACTATCCCCCATAAGGGCTAATGGACGTGGGTGGTCAGATGCATTTAAAATACGCATTCTCAGCAATGTGTACAATAGAGGATTATGGGTAAATCACAGATGGGTCTCAAATTTCCATGTACATTATTAAAGGGTAAGTTCACTTCTTCAGGTGAACTCTAAATTCCCTGGTCACCCCTCCGGACCCCCGCTGCACACAGTGGCAGTGATGCCTCGTGCTGTCGCTGCAAACTGCACTACAAAGCTCCGGAGGGAGTATCCATCATACCGCTCACAACGGCAAAAGGCCATTGGTCAGTGCAACCGTGCTGACCAATAAGAAGCGCTTTTTTTTTCTTTTTGGGACACCTTACCAGAAGAAGAAGCTTCAGATGTGCTTCTCATTGGTCACTTGGCTACACTGACTGATGAGCAGCGGCGGACTGACAACTCATGGGGGCCCCCGGGCAGTAGGGGATCATGGGGCCCCTGTGTCCTTGCCCACACTCAAAGTATACCCAAAAAAGCCTATAAAAAAGGTAACAGGGGCATTTCATGGAGCCCCCTACTGACCCGAATGCTCGAATGGTCAGTCCGCCCCTGCTGATGAGCATTTGCCATTGCAGAGCATCATGATGGATACTTGTTCTGTTTCTGCCACTTTATGCACCCACATACCTCCCGAGACTCGGTCTTTCTGGACAGTATGGTCACCTGCTGACTTGGCACCATCCACAGGCAGCTTAACTCTTCAATAAGACACAGAAGTTGAATCCAACACAATTTTACTTCAGCGAAATGCGGTACAGAGGATGTTATTTCCAGTGTTTTGCTTTACTGAGCCCTGTCTCTGTGAATAACTAACAGTGACTGAGGGAACATGGGGAGAGAGGGCTCGCTCGGACTAGTTCTAAAAGGGCAGGACAGAGGAAGATACCAAAATCACATTAGTAAACAAGTTGTAGTGACCCAGAACTGCCACCAGATGGCAGCATACTACAAAGCAATAACAACCTAATGAAGTTCAATGCAAAACATGGAAGTGAAGCAGATCAATACTGACTCCAGGGAGGTGTATTGCTGAGTATAGACCTCTACACCCGCAGCAAGGGGCTTCACGGTCACTATGTGCAGCAGAGTTTGGAGGGGTGGCCAGGATATTCAGAATTAGTTCATCTTATCATTTGAATAGGTGAACTTACCCTTTAAGGGTAGTTATGTCTTGTAGAGATATCAGCCAAATGATCGGACTAACGGCAATGTGCAACTTGTAATTTACTGTATGAATGTCTCTGCAGATGACACCAAGCTGTTCCGGGGATAACGTCCTTACAGGATGTCTCCAACTTACAGGCCGACCTCAGTGCTCTGTGTCATTGGGGGACTATGGGGCCAATGAGGGTTAATGTTGATAAATGTAAGGTTCTGCACTTGGGGGCTACTAGAGGGATACAACTGGGGGGGGGGGGGGGGGTCAATGGTGGAAAAGGATCTGGGGGGGGGGTCAATGGTGGAGAAGGATCTGGGGGGGTAAATGGTGAAGGATGCTGCCATTATTAAGCTTGTGATCTACCAGAACCCCCAGATCCTTCTCCACCATTGACCCCCCCCA